TATTTTCATAATTATGTTTGGCAATCTAATCCCGACAGTTATTTAATATCAGCTGTAAATTACATTTACAAAGAAATATTTGTGTATTAAGCTAACTTATTCTAACTTGTTTAGATATTTTTTTACAAACCACAGACACTACCAATACAGTTTTCAATATCAAAGTATACATTTAAACCACAAGTAGGTAAAATATTTGTGAAATCAGCGCTCTAGTATATCAATACAAAATGGCCAAAGCTTTGACCTACAATTTGGAGATATTCATGGCTAATTGAGCAGAGAGATTAATTCAAACCACTGTCTTTCAGAAAACACTAGTGTTATCTAGCTCCAGGATATGTAAACGCTTTGTTTTCTCAAGATTTCTGTTTTAGATCCCTACAGAAATCCTATACACCATATATAGTACCAACTTGAGGGTGTTCTTTTGAATCAAATGTTTATTATTTTATCTTGGGCTATATAGATTTTGATCAAACACCTAAACCAAACTGGTATGAATATATCCATTTAAGAAAGACTGTGAACTCTATACATAAGGTTACCAAGTACATGTTTCCTCACAATACCATAGGTTAACTATACACTAAAATTGTACCACATTTTGTCACATATGTTAATATATCTAGATATTAATAAGCATTTAAATATATACATGACCACAAAGTCATTACATGGAGGTAACTTGATTTTGAATCATCTCAACTTTGGCATCATATCAGAATTACAGCACTCGTTTTAAGCTATGCATATTGGACAGTTTTCAGCTGAAGAATGTATAGATTTTCATTTATCCTATGATCTACTGTACAAATTCTTATCAAAAGGTTAAATATATTTATAACGACAACTACCAGCATAAGACTGAATTTATTTCAATTGGCCAGCAATAAGCCCATGGACATGAATAAGCCCATGGAGAGAAATAAGCTCATGTACAGGAATAAGCCCATGGAGAGAAATAAGCCCATGGACAGGAATAAGTCCATGGACAGGAATAAGTGCATATGGACAGGAATAAGTGCATATGGACAGGAATACGTGCATATGGACAGGAATACGTGCATATGGACAGGAATTAGTCCATCTGCATCTATTGCATTTTCCACAGAAATGCCTGCAGCAAGTCTAACCAGACATACATGTATATCTCCCTAAGTTAGAGGTCCAGTGACCCTGTGGTGGCCTCCAAGTAGTCATAGCAACAACATCACAATTCTGATGAATTTGTGCCAGTCATCTTCCTTTCATCCCAGGGAACAACAAGCCCTGACTAATCTCTATTACGTAATACAATTAAAATGGCAGCTAATTAATCATTTAAGTCTGGGTAATTTAGATGCAGAAATACTAAACTATAAGATCCATCCTATGATTGCAAAAATTTTTAAGAAGAATGCAAATGTCATAAAAATCCCAAATCCTGACAGGAAAATGATGAATTGAACAAAAAATTTTAACATTGACAATGTTAATGTTATGCACAAGACAACAGGAATATGTAAATTATAATATACAATATTAAATACATGAAATTATATATATATATACAACTTGTTGAATAATTATAGATCACCCAACTATAATTATACACACACATTTGACATTCAATGACAGAGCTGAGTTGCACGTTTGCAATACACAGTAATGAGATCTATGAGTAAGGTTTACACAGCCTTGACCTGTACACAGGTGACATCACACCTTGTATCTGAAAGCTTAGGGCTAAAAACAACAGTGTGTGCATCTGTATGTGTCTGAAGTCTAATTCAATATTTAAGCCTAGTATATCCTAATGAATCACACAAAATCAATAGTATTGTACGGTATCGCAACAGAGGTTTGCTTCACCGGAAAATGTATGTTAGTCAGTGACATTATACCTGTATCTGCTGAGTCACAACCATCTAGATATTGCAGTATATTGCTTCTTCAAGGTTTCAGACCCAAAAATAAAAACAACATCAGTAAAATGTGAATAAAATAGTAGGTAGGTATACCCATTTTATATTTAAGGCAACTCACAAGTAGATTTTTTTGCAAACACAGCAGTCAACAGGTGAAAGCAGATTGTAGATGGAGGCAATATAATGACAGATCTTATAACTATAAGTCATCTCATGTTAACTTGTATAGCTTCTACAAATGTAATACAGGCCAGGCATGGTCACATTCAAATGTCTGGAAATAAACAAGATTGCTACATTTTGACAGCTGTAATTAGTTTACAATGGAAAAGCATTCAACATTTCTAGATGCTTCTTTTGAATTTAACAACTGATGATTTTATTATTTTTTCCTTGTCTTTGGAGTCTAGCACAACTAATGTAGTTTGCAAAAGCACCAAAAAATGTCTTTTTTTGCCACTGAGTTAAAAATATTAAAGGTCGACGTCGTTTTCATGTTTTTCACTTTAAGGAGGTCTGACGGGATATACTATCATAATGTAATCAGCCAATTATGGAAAACATTCATCTACATTTGTAGAATAGTTGGAGGTACCAAGTTTGGAAATTGCATATTTCCTCTTTAATGAAATAGCATTACAATACTGGCATCTGAAACAGATAAAAGCCAAATCCAACTTGTAAATGGTGTTGTCTTTTTGCGTGAAGGGGTGAAAAAAAGAATCAAAAGATGTTTAGCTGTTCAGGTTGCTGAAAGCTCATACTGTATTCATCACAAACATTAAGAAATCATGGAGTGGAGATCTGGGCTAAATAATGTCAATAGTATTAAATTTGCCATTTGCAAATTTGCATGCTTTCGTAACATAATATAGTTGATTCTGCATCATATATACTGGGTAAGTTACCTTAGGCAAAACACAAGGTTACTAACTAGAAGGACATCTCGGATGAAAACCATCATTAACAACTTTGTCTACAGTATTACGCAGATTGGGAGGATCAGAAAATTGTATGATTCAGACAACTAGAGGGTTTTTTTTCAGGTATAACCCTGCTTTATAGCTAGGTGTGTTGGTATATCATACAGACTCATGTAGCTTGAAGCCATGGAAATCAAGTAGACATACATATATCACATAAAGCACAGGACGTAGCAAAAAGCTGTTTATTTTGTGGAAAACTGCTACTTTATCAAACCCATTACAATTTTTACACAGATCCAGTTTCCATTTAAATGCATGCATATTATATACTACTGTTACAGTTTCAATTTCAGATGTCAAAATCAATGCCTGGTGTTACATCTCAAAATTCCATGGGATTTACTAAAACCTGTTTTGTGTTCATAGGATCATGTGACATAATAATAATTTGTATTGTGCTTTATTGACACACCTCACTGTATCCGTGCGCCATCTGGCTTCAAATTCTTGTAATAGATATCTGGCAAGATTATATACAACATGTATTCCTTTTGCTGGTTATAAATATCTTCTGAAATTGTTTGCCTTCAACTAACATGGTAAAGAAATGGTTTATTATAACACATTTTTTCCTCCTCAGGACTAAACAAAACGAGTATTATGTAAGCTTGCTTACAGACATCTTTTTAACTAAATATATATAGACTAACAAATGACACATTTATTTTATACAAAATGTCCTGTATAATCAACATGAAATCTACCAGCTTTTAGATAAAGACTTTTACAAATGAATTGTATATACACTATGACCTTTCTCTCATGGTTTCTTTGTGAAGTAATTCATCCAGAAAATCTGCATTAATTAACTTAAATGCATCTTTTGTCAAGTGAAAACTCATGAATGCAAAATACACTGCAATGTGGTTGATTAAATTACCACAGAATATGGTTTGGTATATCTTAATAAGGTAATGATGACTTGAGAACTACAACAAACACAAGCTTCCTGATTGAGAAGATAATATTGTTATTGATACTGTGAAACCTTTCAAAATTTCAACTGGTGAAATTTGATATGTATCTGATATTCTGATATCATTAAACATGATTGTTGCAAATAAAGATAATAATGATTTGGTCTCTAAAATGATACACTTGCAGTACAAGATCACAATTCTAAATGTAGATGAAGATCAAATCTCCTACACATAAAACCATTTCTTTTTCTTAACAAATTGTATCATAAAACTTTCAAGGTTGCTTGTCATTTGATCACATTCAAAGCTGTGATCCAACCGTAGGATATATCATACTTAAGTATAGTTGGTGTCAAATGCATAAATATGCAGCAATTTTCGGGACTCGGATAATTTGAGTCCTGAAAAAAATGTGCTATAGGAGGGTTGCTGTGGAAGAAAGCCCAAAGTACCCAAGGAAAATCTACAAAATGTAATTTTTTAAAAAGCCATATACCTAAAAAGCTTAATCAAATCCCAGTCATCAAATACAAGGTGAAAGATTAACTACACTACTTAACCACCTCAGATTATGCACATGCATTCAACTTTTAAACAAGGGTTGCAATTGGTCATCATTTTCACTGTACCAAGAAAGAGTGATGCTAAGGGGGTAGACCAGCTAAGATTCAATGCAATGTTATGTTTGTAATCAAAATATATCTAGCTCTGTACACTAACAGCCATACAGAACATAAGTTACATTTTACCTACATAGATAAAGGACTTTGATCATCTTAAACTTTGTAATGAAGTTAAGTTTTAACAATTGCAAATAATCAGTGACAGCATAAGAGTCCCAATTCCCTCTAAACTAATACGAGTTTTTCATAACATAAACCACAGACTTCGATATAACTAAGACCTACAGTCAAGAAATATACTATGGAACCTGGAGAAATTCAACAAGCCTTACACAGATCTTTACTACCACTAATCTAATTAAATTCATTTTAACTAATGTGATGGTTTTATTTATTATTCAAATCACGACAATCAAATGTTATCCCGTTGTATTCAGAATACACTGCGACAACCCGATCAGCTGATCTTTTTTTTTATTTTTACCGTATCTCATCAATAATAACCTATTACGGTAGACGTGATGATAATAAACCAAGACAGTTATTATTAAATTATTATACCTTAATGCAACTCGTACACTGCTCTGATCTTCCACTTGTTCCTTCTGCTCTTCGGTTTTTTCTGTCATCTTTGTAGTTTTTGTAGCACCTAATTGAAAATAATGTCAGATTGGCTATCTGACAAAAACTATTTGCAGTTTCGCACTGCCAGTTCCTCGTTTGTCACTTTCCACCTGCAAGTAAAACACAATACTTCCCACATATTTGCCGTTTTAAACGGCTATACTCATCACTTTTACATTTCCTTTGCTGCAAAATCCTTAGAAAACGTAGACATCTCCTTCTTAAAGGTACCCGACCATCACGTATGCGTAATACACTGAGATGTCTTTATCGACGAGTTCACCAACCGCGAATGGAGTCAAATGCCGACATCTGGAGGAAGTTTCCGGTATCAAAGAAGGGGGATAACTCCGTAATAAAATTTTATTAGATTCTATTACCAGGGATGTATAATAGCAGGGATGCATAATACATCCTTGCTATTATTACTAGCTTAAACATGTTTTTATCCCCGACAACAGAAATATATAGGGTTTATGCTGTTCTGTTATTTGTTAATCTAGTTTACTAGATAACGTATTCTTTAACACAACCTGCTAATCTAACACTGTGAAAGGAGAGCCTGTAAATTGGTTCTTGTCATAATAAAATTCTGTGAAATAAAATAAACAATTTTTAGTATACATATCCTAGCATTGGACTATATTTCACATTGTAATTTTGGCTTCTTCGTTTATTTAGCTTTTAAATTTGAAAATACACCCCAATCTAGCTTGGTATAGATGTCTATGTTATCAAAAGCAACAATCCAAAGCAGAGAGATTGATTGTATAGACGCTCAGTCTGAATAACTGAAATATTCTCAGTCAATTTTCTCCAAATCATACCATACAAACAGTTTCCCCAGAGAATTCAAACAGTGACGACAATAGAGAATCAATTTGATTGATTAAAATCCACACCTGCACTGAGGACTTGCAGTGGATGTACAAGTTGTTATGAAGATTTTGTGAAAAATAATTGAAACATATATTTGCTAAAGCTTCTAGATTTTTTTTTTTTTTGTTATTTCAATACATTCATTCTTTTAAGGGACAACAAAAACATCAGAAACATAATACAAGACAGTTTAATGGATTGGTTCATGGTGATCCTTACCTCGTCAATGTGAAATTGATATCAAATGATTTTTAATCAAATACTAGTTTCAGTACGTTGTTACATCTTTCATTTCCTAAAGTTAAAATTGAGAGCTATACCATATAACCTTTATTTAATATTTTTTTATTGCAGCTGTAAACCATCATGGATTGTCTCCCTTTATGTGTAAATAATTTCACAACCGAAACAATTCCCAGAATTTTTGGAAAGAAAAAAAGTGAACATCTCCTGACATGTGAATTATGATAAGTATGATTTCTTAATAAAAAAAAAAAAAGAAAAACACGAATTTTATAATCTGCAAATCTTACCCAAATGCAGTGTTTGAATAACTGTTATTATATTTTATTATCATGTTGAAACTGGGCAAAAATACCTGTATACAGTGTGGCATATCTCTTCCCACCATATATCTGGTCTCTGGCCTCCAAAATCCAGGGTGAAGAGATGCATTATTGGGTCATCAAGGAGAAAGACCTTATGAACAGTTCTATTGTATCAAATCTGTATTTGTTTTGAAGATGTTCTATCTTAATTTTGAACTATATTCTGATTATATCAGATCTAAAAATTAATTAGTTTTTGATAACTGACAAAAATTAAAGAAAGTTTATGTGATTCTCATTTTTTTATCTTTTTTTTTTTTTTTTTTTGTTTTTTTGGCGAGTCAGCAAAATTGTGAATATCAACAATAACACTAAAATGCGAAAAGGGCATATACATTGAGGTTTTGGTTTTTCCATTCAAAACGTACAGGAGAAAAACAAAACACAATTTACAACAGATTTACAACAGATGTATGAGACATTCAATGATATTTCCCTGATAATATATATTTCATTGAGAATTCTTATAGAAAATACAACACATTTGTTCTGTTAAAATTTTATTTTTCCCACTTGCATATTCATGAAACTTAACATAAGGTGTGAAATCAACAGATCCATATAACATACTTTAATTTATGAACACCTGAATTTGCTTTTATGTACATACACATCAATCATGCAGTTGTTTATTAAATATCAACCTTACAAGGCTGTACACATGTACTTTCCAGAGACCATTGACAAATGTCATATAGTGTTTGCTGGTAAATCATAAACTGTCTTATTTGGTATAAAGTAATACTTACGCAAATCGTAAATGAGAGTTTCTAAAACAAAGTTACAATTTTTAATTTTAAGAATACTATTGATCCTCAAATTCAATATCCAACAGAATGGTAATTTTTAGGAAAAAACGATGACATTTGTATTTTTGAACACTTTCTTCAGATTGGTAAAGCCAATAGAATATAATAATAGAATATAAGTTCTTACCATATAACACATCTAATAGAAGATTAGAGTGTGACGTTTTTGTCTGATGAAGGTGACCGTGTAGTCATCAAAACCTTACACTAAGCTTCTACAGGTTGTGAAATAAGATAAATGTGACAATGTGGTCATCAAAACATCACACTCTAATCTTCTACAGGTTGTGATATAAGATGATGATGATGATGACTATGTGGTCATCAAAACATCACACTCTAATCTTCTACAGGTTGTGTTATAAGAATTTCTCTTATCCATTGAAATTTGCATTAGTTCAGGTATTTTACAACATGCCAATGTAACAGAAGTTCAAATGTCAAAGGTCACCAGGCCAAGATTCTATATTTGGATTATGTGAGATACAGACATTTCTTTGGTTGACAGGTTCATTGTTTTTCCTTTTTTTTCTCTCTCTTTTTAAACTTACAAACAACAGCTAGTGCTCTGTCTGTGTTCTATCTCTCTGGACTCTGTGCCTCATTATTAATTTTCTTAACTTAATCCCACTTAACAAAAAAAATATGATTAGTTCCTCTGATTGTTATATACACAATTAAATAATAAAAATACTCTACATTTTAAACAATAAAAGCCATTATGTACACTTTGGAAAGCTTAAACAACAGAAGGAAGATTTTCAGGTATAAAAAAAGATGAAAAGATGAAAAGACTAATGATACATGAACAATGTATTTATAGATATTATTTAAGAAAATTAATTTCTTCAGTATAAATGTATATATCACCAATCAGAAGACAGAAACACTGTATAGCACTGATTAATTAGATCAAAGTTTGCCGTGTTTTTTCAAAGCCTAAATATCTATTCACATTCTTAAAACTCTGACTTACGATACAAGTACATATTATCAATAACTTAATTGGTATATGAAAAGTCTCTTTAAAAAATCAAGTAAGAGAAACTAAATTTTAAAAAAAAATCACACTTCTAAAACTTTCCTGTTAAAATTTGAATAAAAAATTCTTGTCTCAGTGTTAATTCTTCTATGCATTTTTCATACTGGTAATGTAATACTTGTCATGATGTGGACGGAGAAATCATAAACACGATTAAATTACCAGTCTTTAAAAATGTGCATATTTGAGCAGAAAGGAGCAAACTCTAAAATAATTGCTTGAATATAAAGTTAATAAAGTTAATAAAGTTATCTCCCCTTAAGAGCTGCATTGAGAAATTTAAATGATGACAATAATGAAGAGAAGCCAACGGAGACTAAAGGCTTAATTTCCAACAACAGATGAAGTTATTTCATGAGTAACATTTCTAAGAAGTGAAAATTACATGGAGAGTTTACATAATACCTTTTTTTTCTATCTACATATATGTTTATCTTACCCAAACCTGACAACCTAAAAATTAAGGATGATATTAAAAGGATGGACAACATTTTTACTTCTATGAAGTCGCAAAAAATACCTCAAATGCGTTTATAGTTTTCCACTGACTTTATATATATATATAGATTTAAAGAATCTGAACTATTTACAATTATGATATACTGTATAATGACACTTCATGATTGTTGAAGATTCTGACTTATTTCCATCATAAAATTTTTACACATGCATTGAAATATTAACACAATTTACAAAAGATCAATCCATAATACTTTAAAATGATTGCATCACAAAATAAATAATTTTTTTCTAAGGATCAAAGATGTTAAATTTTTAATCAACTTTTCAACAACATACAGAAGCCAGCATCTTAATACTAGCTATCTCACTGAAGAGGGAACGCTTGTGTCACTACATGTTATACACAAAGAAAATGTGTATTTTTTAATAAACAATATGTCCATAAAGAATTATCACTTTTAGATTGAAAAATTATTGAAAACACTGACACAAACAAATATATGTAGTAATATACATTATCTGTAATTTCTTTTTGCCTTTTAAAACACAACAGATTCAGTTATTTGTTGTTTACAGTTATTAACCTTTGTATTAATGGATACAAGGAATTTTGTTTAAATAAAAGATACTTAGGTAGGTTTTCTTTGGCATTACATTACCAGTGTTGTAAAAAGACTTCCTGGTGTATATCTGTGCTTGATTTTGTGACTTCATGCTTCAAAACGGAATCATAGCATTTCAATAGAATTGCTTACACAAGGATAATATAGAAACAATTTCATCACTTAAATAATGTATTTGTGATAACACTTTTTAGGTTAAATTGATATAACACAAAGTAAAAGCTTCAAATATAAAGTAATTCATAAAACAAACCTGGAAATATCAGAAGTTACTGTGAAACCATTAACTTTTGTGAGGCTTTATTTGCCTTGGTTTCATGGTTATGATTAGCCTCATGAAAAATACATGACATTACAGTATCTGTTGACAGCAGTTAAAATGGTCAGGATTCTGTTTTGGTATTTGGTTAATCAACATGGGAACACAATTTTTTAAACACTGATTCAAAGTATAAAACATTTAAATCAAAGGGCAAAACATTTGCAAAGCAACACTAGTATTTTCTGGTTAAGTATACTGGTACAAATCCACACAAAAAACATTTGTCTTATCTAAAAAAAATATGCATACAGGTATTAAAAAACAGAGAGTGTCAAGCTTTTCAATAATAATCAAAATAAAACATGTCCAAACGTTTTACATAGACAGTTATACATCATATGATAATACTTTAAATCCTTGATACCCAATCTAGACCTATACCAGATCACCCAATTAATTTAGCCATTGTTTTAAACACCTCAAATTTTACATTCAATATTGTCTCAAATATCAAATTGTTTTAAAAGATACCTATATACATATGTTTTACAAAACCAAGTAACTAGTTTGATGAACATGGATAAGCTTACTGAGAGATACAATAACTTTCATAGCATATTTCAGATGCCCAGACAAAGTAATTTGATTTTAAATTAAGGAAATAATTCAATTTTACAAACAGAAGCTTAATAAATACAAGAACTCTAATAAAGTTAAAATGTCATGTATTAAATAAATTCTGACTCAAATCTGGTCTATGGCACTGCTGTTTGATCTCTGAGGATGTAAAGATGAACCATCATAAAGCTGGACAAAACATTTCCCAAAGAAAAATGCCCAACTTTAAAATCACTATAATACAATAGGACATTTGTAAATCATGACAATATATTTGAAAAGATCTTTTGACATTGTACTTTTATACATAAATAACTAAACAAAATTTTATGAAAATATATGTGAATGAAATGTACACTTTATTTATGATTTATTCTTGATAAAAAAAATTGCAATCGACAATATCGGATCTTGTCTCACACTCAAACAATATTGTGGATCATGATCAACTTGATCTATAAACTTCAAAAACATTTTGCCATATGCATTTGAGGACAACTCAAAATTAAACAGAATGTCGTACAATGTCAGATTTAAAAAAAAAATCTTTTCCCCATCAAACTTCTAGACTGAACATATTCCGGCACCAGATCTGAATTCAAACACAACAGGAATCTCTGAAGTAAGATACATGTTTACAAAATGAATTTTCATCTTTGAAGATATGCCCAGATCAGGGTTTTCCTTTATGAAATCTGCATTTTGACACCATAATTTATCAAAGGACTCACAAAATCGATGAAAATCCTACTCAAAATAGTTTTATAACTGGAGTCCATGGGCCACTAAATAAGATGAATTTTAGAATCATGGTAAACTGTGCCAGACAAGAATTTTTCTGCATTAACTCAATTTAGAATATCCAAGATAAGTATTTTCTTAATGCATTTATTTTTTGTTTAATGATGCTTACCATATTTAACCTTACATCAACAGCTAATGCTCAATCTACCACAGCAGTTATCTTCATTTTTCTTTCATTATTATGATCACAATAAAAATAAATAAATAATTTTTTTCAACACTCACATTGATATATCATCATATCATTCATACATAAGTTATAAATTAACTCAGGTTTTATCCTTGACCAGCAAAGTTCTTCAAATACTTTGATATATTAGTACAATTTGTCATGAGAGTTATATACACTAAAGATTCTATAACACTGATATTTTAATACTCCAGTCTAACATCTTTTCATTCCATAGTAACAGGACCGATATGATCTGTTTTGGAAGATATCTCAATGTGTCTGTAAGATACGGTAAAAAACTGTCCAGAGAGTATACTGTCTTCAGAAATAAGGTAGCATGTCTTGAGAAGAAGACAACAGTCTTGTTTTATCACAAGTCCATCTTTAGAGATTGTCATGAACAGCCTGAGGATTGAAACCAAATGGTCCAGAGTCAAAAGAAGCCATTTTATCAGTTTTTGAGACAAAAGCATCTACACTCTAATAAAAAAAAGCCTTAACAAATGTCACAACCTCACTAAACTGACCATAAAAATGGAATATTAAGACTATTTGTTTTTGTAGGCTGAAAAGTGATGATTTTGAACTGATGTAAATATCCACACTGCAAGTCTGTTTAGTTGGTGGTGCCATTAGCTGTGACATTCTGTATGATTGAAGGTGTAATATCACTTGGTCCCATTACAATCTGTACAGGCGGCACTAACTTCTTCCCACTTAAAAGATCCTCTAGACCCTAAAACACAGAAAAAAATGGGATTTCAACAAAAAAATATGCAAAGCAAGATTTGTGAAAATTGCACCAAATAGTGTAAATGATAATTGCCTTTTCAAAATATTATTTTTTTAGTAAAACACAAATATAAAATTCAACATGGTGTAGACACGTAACAATTTTATATAAAAAAGTTTAATCTATATTGTAGGTATCCTGTACTAAGCCCAGAGGTCAGAGTACAAGGAGGAACTTACAACAGGAAACAATATATACAGATACATACGCTGCCTCATGGTATGAACTCACCCGACCAATCAGATCAAAGGAGATAAAATTGTTACATGGGTATATTAACCCCATAAGAAGACAACAGTATGATAAGGATATCTATAACATTCTACAGTACCTCCCCAGCATAGGATACTAATGGTGAAACTTCACATTTGTTGAACTGATCATCATTCTCGCTCTTTTGACTGAAATAGACAAAAAAAGAAGGTTAAATGTTGCCTCTTTCATTCAGGGTATGGTACAAATTTTTATTTATCACTTTGAGGTACCGGTAAATAATTGTTATCTTTAGATCAAATATCAGCTAGATTATGATACAGTATGGTTTATAATAAACCAAGATTCTGAAAGAAATCTGCCATATTGGTAGTCAGAAAACTTTCTTACATCATATCAGTCATTAAGAAAAATTTTAAAAGACAACTATGTAAATTTGCCATTGTTACAATTAACATCAGTGAGTTAATGGGAATTGCACTGTCCAAGAGCATTAGTAAACAAAAACAGAGTGAACTTTCAACAAATTCTATATTACACAGAATGAACTTTCAACAAATTCTATATTACACTGAGTGAACTTTCAATAAATGATATATTACAGAGTAAACTTTCAACAAATTCTATATTACACTGAGTGTACTTTCAATAACTTCTATATTACAGAGTAAACTTTCAACAAATTCTATATTACACAGAGTGAACTTTCAATAAATGATATATTACACAGAGTGAACTTTCAATAAATGATATATTACACAGAGCAAACTTTCAATAAATGATATATTACAGAGTAAACTTTCAGTAAACTTTCAATAAATGATATATTACAAATGAACTTTCAATATATATATTACACAGAGTGAACTTTCAATAAATGATATATTACACAGAGTGAACTTTCGACAAATTCTATATTACACAGAGTGAACTTTCGATAAATGATATATTACACAGAGTGAACTTTCAATGAATTCTATATTACACAGAGTGAACTTTCAATAAATTCTATATTACACAGAGTGAACTTTCAATAAATGATATATTACACAGAGTGAACTTTCAATAAATTCTATATTACACAGAGTGATATTACACAGAGTGAGTAAATGAATTACTTTCAATAAATGATATATTACACAGAGTGAACTTTCAATAAATGATATATTACACAGATATTTCATAAATGATACACAGAGTGAACTTTCATAAATGATATATTACACAGAGTGAACTTTCAATAAATGATATATTACACAGAGTGAACTTTCAATAAATGATATATTACACAGAGTGAACTTTCAATAAATGATATATTACACAGAGTGAACTTTCAATAAATGATATATTACACAGAGTGATTTCAATAAATATATATTACACAGAGTTTTCAATAAATGATATATTACACAGAGTGAACTTTCAATAAATGATATATTACACAGAGCAAACTTTCAATGAATTCTATATTACACAGAGTGAACTTTCAATAAATGATATATTACACAGAGTGAACTTTCGATAAATGATATATTACACAGAGTGAACTTTCAATAAATGATATATTACACAGAGTGAACTTTCAATAAATGATATATTACACAGAGTGAACTTTCAATAAATGATATATTACACAGAGTGAACTTTCAATAAATGATATATTACACAGAGTGAACTTTCAATAAATTCTATATTACACAGAGTGAACTTTCAATAAATGATATATTACACAGAGTGAACTTTCAATAAATGATATATTACACAGAGTGAACTTTCAATAAATGATATATTACACAGAGTGAACTTTCAATAAATGATATATTACACAGAGTGAACTTTCAATAAATGATATATTACACAGAGCAAACTTTCAATAAATGATATATTACACAGAGTGAACTTTCAGTAAATGATATATTACACAGAGCAAACTTTCAATAAATGATATATTACACAGAGTGAACTTTCAGTAAATGATATATTACACAGAGTGAACTTTCAATATATTACACAGAGTGAACTATATATATTATATTACACAGAGTGAACTTTCAATAAATTCTATATTACACAGAGCAAACTTTCAATAAATGATATATTACACAGAGCAAACTTTCAATAAATGATATATTACACAGAGCAAACTTTCAATAAATGATATATTACACAGAGCAAACTTTCAATAAATGATATATTACACAGAGCAAACTTTCAATAAATGACATATTACACAGAGTGAACTTTCAGTAAATGATATATATATAACAACAACATAAAAGGAGAATCTTTGTAAAAACAACAAAAGATCCCAGAGGGATCTCAGCATTAACTATTTATCTTTTATCTTTTTAGTTCTGTAACACTTTCCTTTCCTTTCTCCATCTTCTTTTCTCTTTTTCTTTTGTTTTTGATCTTAACTATATGAAATTTCAAAACTCCTCTAAAGAAATAGTGATAATAATATTTAACTGTCAAATCCAAGATAATCACTTGTTGGCTCCATGTTTCCTTATTAATGATCTGTCCCAAAATACAACTAGCACACAAGAGGAATCTCCATATGAAATTTAAGAAGGATCCATCCAGTAATTCTCAATTAATTCTTAATTCTGATCAGTCCCAAAATCAAAAGGCATAATTAGGGAACAAGAAGAACCATCAAATGAAGTTTGAGAAAGATGCATTTATTGCTTCTCAAGAAGCATTAATAACAAAAGGCCTAGCCGCCTTGACGGTCACCTGAGATAAGCAATATTGAATATAAAGGTTAAAGGATAGTTATCAAGGGTCATGAAACAGAAATTGTGACACTGAATATAGACCGTGTCAATACATGCATTCCATCAAAACTTTCACCCTATATTGATTATTCTTATGAAGTTATTTCCAGTGGAAAATAACCAATGTTATGTTCAAAAATGCAATTTTTCTATGAAAATTACAGTAAAGTTTAGAAAAAAATAATCCTCCCCAGGAAGAAAAAAGAGACTCATTTTGGTAATTAAAGCACCTTAAGATGCTTCCATTCATGAAGAGCATTTGATACTGCCATAACTTGGTCTTGAGAAGAAGAAAGTCAATTTGACCCCTTTTTGGCCCTGCCCATCAGCCCCTGGGTTCAGTCAGGATCAAAATGGTCATACTATCAAGCTGTCATCCTTCACTCATAATTCTAACCTATTCTGAAATATTTCCAATGGAAATTAAGTAAATTATCCTCAAAAATCTAGTTTTCCTATATACACTTTAGTAAACTTTAACTCTTTCCCACAGGGATATGCGAGACCCTGGGGTCATGAAATTCACAATTTGGTAAAGCACCTTAAGATACTTCCATGAAGAGTGTTTGATTCTACCATAACTAGGTATTGAGAAGAAGATTTTTGAAATCTGAGTCCATTTAACATCTTTTGGCCCCACCCCTCAGGCCCTGGAGGGAGGGAACTGTATAATTCACAATTTGAGTTGGTCTTAGGTCAGGGAAGGTATTTGCAAAATTTCATTGAAATTGGATCAGGGATTTTTGAAAAGAAGTTGAAAGTGTTAAATTGTTTACAGACGTAAGAAGCACAATGCATGACGCACAACGCGTAATGCACGACGTATGACGCACAACGTCGCATGAAGGGTATTAGAATAGATCACTCTGAGACCTTGTTTCAGGTGACCTAAAAATTCCTCCACTGTTGAGAATATACATGTTTATTGCGGAGTTATCTCCCTTATTCCTCCAATTATTTCAATATTGAATATTAGCATTTTGATTTTAAGAAATGCTTCTTCTACAATACAGAAAACATATGGCGCATTGATGATGTTTATACATATAAAACCATTACTTCAAACTACACACTGTAAGATATAAACTCCACTTAAACCACATCTGTAGGATATAATGCCTACTAAGACTTACCAGTCACCACTCTCTTTGGCTTTCTTAGCACTGAAACAAAGGCAAAACAGTCACATATATATATATAAAACATGCAGTGAACATGCACACAACAGAAAATCAGAGATTAAACACTGGGGATGTAATGACTAACATCAAATTTTAAACCTCTCTGTTTCGTTGATAAGTATATTTCTTTCTTTTATACCAAAATCTTTGAGATAACAAAGCTGAAATTCATGAAATTAAGTACTTTTTGTGACAATTTGAAGAAATTGTTGGTTGGCTGACAATCAAGTATGTTTTTGTATCTATGTATTTGATAATGAAATTCCATTTTGCACTGTTTGACAGAAAATTAATAACATTTTCTTGAGGTAGCCATCTCATAGCCTTGGTTCCATACAGTCTCTGACCCTAAAGGCCTAAATTTGATACATTTTATCAAAGATGACTTTTGGTATTATAAGCAAATTTTAATAGGTTAAAGAGTTCTGTGTATTCAGTAATGATACCTTGCAGGAGAAATTTAAAATTACATTCCAGTAAAATAATAAAATCATTCTACATAATGAAATCTATAACAGCACCATCAACATAATTAGACTAGAGATGATGACCTAAGTATTGAACTCATAATTTGCATTTTTACTACAAAGATTTTAAAATAAAATTAATTAATGATATTTTAGACATGAAAATGAACTTTAAGACTGACAAAAAGCTCAAAACAATTTATTCTATAAACATTTGAAATTAATATTTAAGGAACTCTGAAAGTATCAACACTATCATTTAGAATTTAATAAGAACTCAAATGTGTTGATTCCAGGTAAATATTACTGCGATTCATCATGCTACAGCAGTTTTCACAATCATAACTACTGCAGTTATTACATGCAAAGCATGCAATGCAGGAAAATTACATTTTTTTAAATGCAAAAAGGATTTTCTCTCTCAAAAATTTCCTCAAACAAGCATATAGGAATCTATGAAATAAATGGCTGAAAATCCATTCAGATTTAGTTGTTATGATTTAAACCAAATTTGTGTAGTAAAAACATTACAATGTATATAGAATGTATTATGTTATACTTAATTGATGCATGCATTGAAAAAACACAACATGTGCAGAACTGTATTTAATGTTATACTGTTAAGATTTTTTTCGAGAAAGTGCAATATCAGTGCAAGAAAACTGAAACTTTATACAAAATTCACTTTTCTGGAGGTGCTTACTCAAGGTTCTTACCATGGTATATCTGAAAGTGAAGATCCATCGCTGTGTATAAACTTGGAGCCTGCATCTAACATGTAACGATGGTGGAGACTCAACAGGGCTTCTCTGCAGGTGGTCGGCGTGTCTTTCGCTGCAGTGTCAGCGTTCTTCAAGGGAGCAAACTCATCCTCACGGAGTACTTCCCACACAGCAAAGTTCCTGTCACATTTACACCAAACCACGGACACAACCAAGGCCAAGTAAGGTAGGAAAGGGTAAAGGAGAAAGAGAAAAAAGGAAGAAGGAAGGAGAAAGAAGGATGGAGAAGGAAGGAGGACGGATGGAGAAGCAGGAAAGATTCCAAATATAAATTAGAGTGAATATGATTATTGAAAAGAAGAAATTAGTTTTCAAAAAGTGTTAAAGAGATGAAAATTTTAAAATAAAATAAAATGATTCAGAGAACCACCAAAAAAATTAAACAAAAAAGCAAAAAATAAAAGAATCCGAATAAATGAAATATGATTTAAACAAAGCAACAGAAGCAAACGTGAACAATGTTTTTTTGATTTTGTAGAATGAATATGTGTACATCACACACAAACACACACACAAAGCACACACAAAAAAGGGGGATAAAAAAAGAGAGAGAGAAAAAAAAGCTATGTTACTAAAAAGTTCAATATTTCAGCAAAAGCAACATGTGAATCAACAAAATTCTTTGTGACAAAATTCATAGTTTTAGTCATGTGATACAACAGTAAACACGGTAAAGTAACTCTATCACTTATAAAAGATGAGCGACAGTCAATATTGTGATCATTATCATTAAAAGTCTATAAAAGTGTGCTGAATAGTGAAAATGTGAAGCATTTTTATCTTCATACATTACTCAGGTGTGTCACATCATGTGATCCTGCTAGTTTATCATATATGTATAGAGGTGTTAATGTACCTGTGATGTAGAGGTGTAAATGTACCTGTGCTGTAGAGGTGTAAATGTACCTGTGGTAGAGAGGTGTAAATGTACCTGTGATGTAGAGGTGTAAATGTACCTCTGGTGTAGAGGTGTAAATGTACCTGTGATGCAGTGGTGTAAATGTACCTGTGGTAGAGAGGTGTAAATGTACCTGTGGTAGAGAGGTGTAAATGTACCTGTGGTAGAGAGGTGTAAATGTACCTGTGGTGTAGAGGTGTAAATGTACCTGTGATGTAGAGGTGTAAATATACCTGTGGTGTAGAGATGTAAATGTACCTGTGATGTAGAGGTGTAAATGTATCTGTGATGAAGAGGTGTAAATGTACATGTGATGTAGAGGTGTAAATGTACCTGTGATGTAGAGGTGTAAATGTATCTGTGATGTAGAGGTGTTAATGTACCTGTGGTAGAGAGGTGTAAATGTACCTGTGATGTAGAGGTGTAAATGTATCTGTGATGTAGAGGTGTTAATGTACCTGTAGTGTAGAGGTGTAAATGTACCTGTGGTGTAGAGGTGTAAATGTACCTGTGGTGTACAGGTGTAAATGTACCTGTGGTGTAGTGGTGTAAATGTACCTGTGGTGTACAGGTGTAAATGTACCTGTGGTGTAGAGGTGTAAATGTACCTATGGTGTAGAGATGTAAATGTACCTATGGTGTAGAGATGTAAATGTACCTATGGTGTAGAGATGTAAATGTACCTGTGGTATAGAGATGTAAATGAACCTGTGGTGTAGAGATGTAAATGTACCTATGGTGTAGAGGTGTAAATGTACCTTTGATGTAGAGGTGTAAATGAACCTGTGGTGTAGAGATGTAAATGTACCTATGGTGTAGAGGTGTAAATGTACCTGTGATGTAGAGATGTAAATGTACCTATGGTGTAGAGGTGTAAATGTACCTGTGATGTAGAGGTGTAAATGAACCTGTGATGTAGAGGTGTAAATGTACCTGTGATGTAGAGGTGTAAATATACCTGTGGAAGCATGCATGTGTTACAGGTGCTGGAAGTTATACAGGTGTTCTGCATGACCTTGTTTGAGTCTCCAACCATTTGTTTCTTGCCTTTGTCAGCACTTATTATACTTTTTGCCCTGCATTTGACTGAGATATTTTGAAAATTTGCTTCTGGTCATCTTTATTTCATGACTTCTGTTGTTTTTGAGATATTAATGTGTTAAAAGTCAGTATATTCCAGGTACAGTGTACCAGCATAATATGTTTTAGCAAAATATTTGTATACTCAGAAACACAGAAACAGGAACATTTTGGAATAAACAAAGTATTGCAATGAGTTAGCATTTGTTTCAAAAGCATTTGTAAGCAAATCCCATCGTCACAAAACAGAATGTGAATAGAATTAATTCATCTATGCGACAGGAAAGTTTCCGTAAAGCTTCCGTAGAAATGAAAACCTAAAGTGTATAGGTCTACTGTTGTAGAAAGTGAACTACAGTTTTTTTAATATATTCTAGCAGAACTGGGCCATGGAAGTGTTTAAAAAATCTATGCAATCCATGGTTAAAGCAACATCATTATTACTGGTGTTTGACTGGTAAATCTGCAATCACCTATTTCAAACTTTATATTAGGAGCAATACACATATTCACAAAAATTAGATACCATCGCATAATATTCAGATCATGCAATTTTAATTTGTATGAAATGAATTCTCTTATTTTCATTGAATTCAGGAATATTTTGTCTTGCAAAAATAACCAGTTCTATGGTATCCACTAATCCATGACAGTTTAGCTCCATATCGTGTTTATCCTCCGATTAGCCATGCGTGAACAACATGACATTTTAGTAAAAATTAACGGGCAGAATTATCACTGAACAATAAACAACAATATTAATATGAATGGGCCTACCACTAAGGAGGAGATAACTGTGGAGTAAATACGGTGTTCACTGGAATGTGATTATGTCATGTTTTGTTAAAATACTATGGCTATATTCAATTTTTTTTTAAAGTCATCAATTAAAAATAACTTACATGGTAAAACCGAGGAAATCTGCATCAAGATATCTCCTTTTATTTGTATACTTACTTGGCAAAATGAAAAACATCGAAGACAAATTTCTCCATTTTGATTCCATTAGGTTCTGTAGGCTTGACAATCTGCTGGTCGTCACCAACAAACGGAATCTTTTTCTTAGCCACGTGGTGTTTTAACTGGTTTTCTTGTTCAACCCTGAACAGGTAATAAAAACAATGAAACTTGTTAAACCAATATTTGAAATTTATTAGAAATTTGTCATTTGATCAATAATTATTAATTCTAATACATGTCTTTAAAGTTGAAGGTCTATGTGTCATTATATTTATTATCAAAAAATCATTACCAACAAATATGGTTTAATTGTCCTATACTAAACCAACCTCCTGACTTTGAAACAAAGTAAAAACACAGTATTACGGGATAAATACCACTTTTTCTAAATTAATGAACTCATTTGATGAATCAATTATATGGATATATGTGGACGTTCTACATGTGGTAGTCAGTTCTAGGGTGTTTAATCACCTCCAGCATGACTAAATCATCTGTGTTGGTTAGTTTCTAACCAGAGGGACCTCAGTCGTCACTGAACTGTGTGACCTAAAGTCGTCTGTGTTGGTCAGTTTGTAGATGTTTGCACTGTCTGACCCGAAGTCATCTCTGTTGGCAAGTGTGTGCTCATGTTAGTCAATTTGTGGTTGATTTACCAGAAATATGAAAGACTAATGTGTCAGTGTTGGTTAGTGTGTGTTTGTTTGACCAGCATGACTAAAGTTGAAGGTGTTGGTCAGTTTCTGGTTGAATTATCAATATGATGAAAAACCAATGTGGTCAGTTTTTAGATGTCCAATCAGTGTGACTTAAGTCGTTTGTAATAATTTCTTTGTAATGGTCAGTTTGTGGCTGTTTGACCAGTAAAATAAGAAACCAATTATGTCGATGTTGGTCAGTTTGTGGTTGTTAGTTAAGTATGACCTAAGCCAGCAGTGTTGGTCAGTTTGTGATTCTTGACCAGTAAGATACATTACCAAATGCTAGGTCTTACTGTGACACGTGTTTGAGGAAGTCCAGTGTGAAGTAGTGGTTACAGATGTTTCCAGCATTGAAGGTCAGCTGTCCATTGTCTCTTCGCAACTCAGCAGTTTCCACTGTAATTTCGCTGTACTCCACGACCTGGTAGTGACCTTCGACCTTACAGACCACGCCTACTGCCTCTGTTGGTACTGTCTTTTCCACAGCCTAAATAATTATCAACATACACAATACATCTGACGTCACTGGTACTGCTACAAAATAATCTTTTTAATCCTTTATTAACTATTACGGTCCAGGTTTGTATGCCACTGTGACTTGTATTATATCATGGAAGCATATCACATTGTTATTTTATCATAGTATTGTAATCATCCTCAACGGGTCATTGGTAAGGGTTAGAGGGTCAAAGGTCAATATTAGCCACTTTCAAATTTTCAAAACATATTTTTACAGAAATCATATTCACAAACACAATTACCTTATGCGGGGCATCTTCAGTAACCCACTCATGAACCTTGACAATGGATGAAGGGATGTGGACAGTGGGTAACTGACGATGGACAAGAGGTTAGGGAAAGTGGGTTACTGATGATGGATAAGGGGTTGGGAAACATTGGTTTAGTGGTGACGGATGAGGGGTTGGGAACAGTGGTTCATGACAATGGATGAAGGGTAGGGGACAATCGGTTTAGTGATGATGGATGAGGGGTTGGGTAACAGAGGGTTCATGACAATGGATGAAGGGTAGGGGACAATTGGTTTAGTGATGATGGATGAGGGGTTGGGTAACAGAGGGTTACTGATAATGGATAAGGGGTTGGGGACAGTGGGTTATTGACAATGTATGAAGATTGATGACAGCAGGTTACTGCAAAAAGGATGAAGGGTTGGGAACAGAGGGTTTAGTGATGATAGATGAGGGGTTGGGGACAGTGAGTTACTGTCAATACTGAAGGGTTGTGGACAGTAGGTTACTTACAATGGTTGACGGGTTGGTGGAAGTGGATTAATGCTGATGATGAAGGGTTGGAGAGAGTGGATCAATGTTGATGATGAAGGGTTGGGGAGAGTGAATTAATGTTAATGATGAAGGGTTGGGGAGAGTGAATTAATGTTGATGATGACGGGTTGGGGAGAGTGAATTAATGTTGATGATGACGGGTTGGGGAGAGTGGATTAATGTTGATTATGACGGGTTGGGGAGAGTGGATTAATGTTGATAATTAAGGGTTGGGGAGAGTGGATTGATGTTGATGATGAAGGGTTGGTGAAAGTGGATTAATGTTGATGATGAAGGGTTGGGGAGAGTGGATTAATGTTGATGATGAATGGTTGGGGAGAGTGGATTAATGTTGATGATGAAGGGTTGGGGAGAGTGGATTGATGTTGATGATGAAGGGTTGGGGAGAGTGGATTGATGTTGATGATGAAGGGTTGGGGAGAGTGGATTAATGTTGATGATGAAGGTTTGGGGAGAGTGGATTAATGTTGATGATGAAGGGTTGGGGAGAGTGGATTGATGTTGATGATGACGGGTTGGGGAGAGTGGATTAATGTTGATGATGACGGGTTGGGGAGAGTGGTTGGGGATAATTAAGGGTTGGGGAGAGTGGATTGATGTTGATGATGAAGGGTTGGGGAGAGTGGATTGATGTTGATGATGAAGGTTTGGGGAGAGTGGATTAATGTTGATGATGAAGGGTTGGGGAGAGTGGATTAATGTTGATGATGAAGGTTTGGGGAGAGTGGATTAATGTTGATGATGAAGGGTTGGGGAGAGTGGATTAATGTTGATGATGAAGGGTTGGGGAGAGTGGATTAATGTTGATAATTAAGGGTTGGGGAGAGTGGATTAATGTTGATAATTAAGGGTTGGAGAGAGTGGATTGATGTTGATGATGAAGGGTTGGGGAGAGTGGATTAATGTTGATGATGACAGGTTGGGGAGAGTGGATTAATGTTGATGATGAAGGGTTGGGGAGAGTGGATTAATGTTGATGATGAAGGGTTGGGGAGAGTGGATTAATGTTGATGATGACAGGTTGGGGAGAGTGGATTAATGTTGATGATGAAGGGTTGGGGAGAAAGGATTAATGTTGATGATGACAGGTTGGGGAGAGTGGATTAATGTTGATGATGAAGGGTTGGGGAGAGTGGATTAATGTTGATGATGACAGGTTGGGGAGAGTGGATTAATGTTGATGATGAAGGGTTGGGGAGAGTGGATTAATGTTGATGATGACAGGTTGGGGAGAGTGGATTGATGTTGATGATGAAGGGTTGGGGAGAGTGGATTAATGTTGATGATGACGGGTTGGGGAGAGTGGATTAATGTTGATGATGACAGGTTGGGGAGAGTGGATTAATGTTGATGATGACAGGTTGGGGAGAGTGGATTAATGTTGATGATGAAGGGTTGGGGAGAGTGGATTGATGTTGATGATGAAGGGTTGGGGAGAGTGGATTAATGTTGATGATGAAGGGTTGGGGAGAGTGAATTAATGTTGATGATGAAGGGTTGGGGAGAGTGGATTAATGTTGATGATGACAGGTTGGGGAGAGTGGATTAATGTTGATGATGAAGGGTTGGGGAGAGTGGATTGATGTTGATGATGACAGGTTGGGGAGAGTGGATTAATGTTGATGATGACAGGTTGGGGAGAGTGGATTGATGTTGATGATGAAGGGTTGGGGAGAGTGGATTGATGTTGATGATGAAGGGTTGGGGAGAGTGGATTGATGTTGATGATGAAGGGTTGGGGAGAGTGGATTAATGTTGATGATGAAGGGTTGGGGAGAGTGAATTGATGTTGATGATGACAGGTTGGGGAGAGTGGATTGATGTTGATGATGAAGGGTTGGGGAGAGTGGATTGATGTTGATGATGACAGGTTGGGGAGAGTGGATTGATGTTGATGATGAAGGGTTGGGGAGAGTGGATTGATGTTGATGATGAAGGGTTGGGGAGAGTGGATTGATGTTGATGATGAATGGTTGGGGAGAGTGGATTGATGTTGATGATGAAGGGTTGGGGAGAGTGGATTGATGTTGATGATGAATGGTTGGGGAGAGTGGATTGATGTTGATGATGAATGGTTGGGGAGAGTGGATTGATGTTGATGATGAAGGGTTGGGGAGAGTGGATTAATGTTGATGATGACGGGTTGGGGAGAGTGGATTAGTGACAATGGATGAATGGTTGATGTGATGTTTTTCTGTATAATCCCATGCTCTATTTTATTTTTCTAATGTTATATATAATCTGCATGTATCAAAGTTTTAATTTTACCTTTGCTCCACACTCTGCTTTCTTTGTCCTGCAGAAGCCAATGAATACAGGGTCAGCCATTTTGACAAGAATATTGTCTACACAGTAGACATGTATGTTTGTTACACCTCTCTTCTCCATGTCCTCCAAGATATTCCACTTCCTAAGAGCCCGGTAAAGTCCCCCATTACCATCTGTAGATTACAAAACATTCATTTATTATGTACTTGTGAATTACACAAATACTTGATATACTGAAAGCACAAGTACTAAATATATATTGATATTTTTCATAGAAATGTGTTTAAATTATATTGGTAATATTTTTCAGACACGATTACCAAAGAAGAGCAAAGACGGATTGTTACACCGTCAAAAGAGATTCTCCAAACCTCTCATACTGTAAAATGTTTAATATTTGTGGTAGATTCATTTTCATTTAAATCGTGAGTACTCTAAATTCAAGAATTGATAAGCAGATAAAAGTTGACCTTGATTTTATTACTAGTGAATTTGTGATCAAGATTTATTTACATAAGTACCAACAAAAAATTATTTTATTGAAAAAAAATTAGAAATTTGAGCCCCATGAAAATATGTGATTTTACAGTGACTTCTAAGATGCAAATAGCTTTGTTGAAGCTAATTTAGGATTTTTAAATTGTCCTGGATATGAATGAGAGAGAGAGAGAGAGAGAGAGAGAGGGGGGGGGGGAGGGGGGAGGGGGGAGGGAGAATAAAAGGAAGGAAGGAAGGAGAGACAAACAGATTCAAATAAAACTCCCAAGAGTTTATTATCTTGATGTGATTGCCTTATGTATGTTATGAAATATCATCAGCTGATAAATATCAACAACCTTCAGAAAACTACACAGCATAATATTTACATCTACTTCACATGAGATTTTATTCAGTTTTTGTTGGCTTAGACAGGCAAAAAATTACAACTTTAGGATGAGTTTCATGAAATTTCATAAGAAATGAAAACAAAAAATCTTCACATATTTGTAGGGCTCCATGCCAGCATGCTATGGGCTATTAGCCCCCTAAATTTGAGAAGAAGTTATTTAAAGATTTTGACAGTTTTCAAGGTCATTCATTTAAACAAACTTGAAAAACAGGCCCAATTTTTTGGTTAATGAGAAGAAGTTGTTTAAATGTGACCTTTAAAGTGGGTCATTCATTTGAACAAACTTGGTAGAGCTCCATGCCAGTATCCTCTGTGCCAAGTATTAGCCCCCTAGACCTTCTAGTATTTGAGAAGAAGTCGTTTGAATGAAAAGTTTACGGACGGCGCACGGCGCACGACGGACGAAGCATGATGACTATAGGTCATCGGACCCTTCGGGTCAGATGACCTAAAAAAAACTCTTTATCATATATCTCAAAAGGTTAAGATTTTGACAGGTTTTAAAGAAAAATTTGGAGGACAAGTTCAAACAGAGGCAACATTATTTTGTTGCACCTTTTCAACATTATCCTCATTATAAAGCAACAATCAATAGGTAGCTAATGAAAACACTCCAGGGTACACAACACTACTGACATACATAGAAATACTACACTGGCAAATTCACTGGTTTACAGGCCGACCTCGTGATTAATGTACATACATCTGTACATGTTTATCTAGTTTCTCAACAAACAATTTTAAAATCATGATTTTATTAAACAAGTTTGAAAACCTGAATTGGCCTGACATGAACTGTAATGGTTGGTATCCCATTCACTTAATCAACATTATGTAATAGGAATACACTAATTTAACTGACAGGAGATAACACTGTGCGGTTAAGTGTGTAATGTAAGTCGAGGTAAACAGACCATGTTTGTCTTTGAATATGTCATCAGATAACTCCTACTACAGGTAAACATCACTAGAAAACTGTGTCTACATGTTCACAATCTGTTTGTACTTTGTCGCTCAAAACATCTTTCCACAGATACAATTTGACTAGTCTTCAAATTATTTCATTGGACTGTCAAACAAATATCTGAAACTTGTATCAGATTCCATAATACGAAAGATAAATTCAACCCTCAAAAAAACATGAGACAAGATAGAATCAAAAATCATTTAAACAAAAGGTCTGAAAATACAATGGACACAAGTGCCTTACTTAGCTATAACTGATTTAATTAAATACCTGAACACTGCTATATTAACATTTTGTAAATTAATAAGTCTCAAAAAGGATGCAGAATTTAACTGAGTCACACAGGTTAGTCTTGTCCTACTCGTGTATAATTCAAAACAGTATGCCTACAGAATAATGATCACATGACATGAAAAAACAACACCTACAAAACTTCACTAGTTATCTGTAGAGAAAATCTTAAACATATTTTTAAATTTAAGTCAAGAGGTTGGAACAGCCATCAGAAATGTTTCCACTGTATAAATATACCTGAATGCAGTATCTGATAATTATGGACAATCTGAATCTAATCCCACATGTCACAAATAGATGTACCGCAGCACTTGTAATATTTACAGAAGTACAAACACTACTCTCAACAAATGAAATTTAAGGCCTATCTCCTTGATTTCAATTCCTTGAACAATTTCATAGGTAAACAAATATGATCTTTCTTTCAGTCTGTAATGAAACCTAAATGAAACATTCAAGTTGAAAAAAACTTGTCCTTTCTGCTTTATCCACATTCCTATACAGGATCTCCAACTGTATTTGAAATATTTGTTACAAGTTGTCATTTTTTACTGTGCTATATATATACATATTTTTCTTTTTATAACACATTACAAAGAATTTATTTGAAAATTCTCAGAATCAGAAAATCCTGTTTCCAACATATCAAATGATCGAAAAGTCATCTTAAGTCAACCCTGAAGGTACTCATTATATATATATATGAGGATTTTGAAATTTACTGCAAAAAGCAAAACAATGAGATAACTATTACGAGACATCTTTAGGTGTATATATCAAGATTTTGAATAAGAACGTGTTTACAATTACTACTTATATGAAAATCTGGAGCAATACCAACATTGTAAGTCTACTGTTTTTGTAAACATGAATGGAAATGAAAAAAAAATCTGGGTTAATGTTGCTTTTATGGCTTTCATTGTTGTTCTACACTTTCTGGCAAAAAATCTGAAATAAATTTCTACCTCACCTCTTCAAGTAGATGACATCACAAAAATTGTTTCAGAGAATTTAATACTAGATAGATGAATCTCACTACTTTGTAAACAACTTCAGAATACGTTCACACATAATCGTGGTAACAGATGTACAAAAATATCAATCAGACCACTGTCACTTTGAGTATATTCATCTCAGCTCCTACAGACCATGGAGGGTCTTAATGTGCACTGGCTGTCAGACTCAATATCCAGTACCATCGCCAACTTGTGTCTTAATTTTAAGTTATAAATAGAGCAGGTTGATTTGAAATACCTGGTATACAGGTTATGAAAACTAATCATTCATGGGTGGTGTTAGCTATTGACAGAGAAATTTAAGCAGAGAAATGAGTTGTTGATAATGAGGCTATCCAAAAAACTAGAACTTAAAAAATCTTATATAAAGGGTTGTGATTTCTAAATCTGCATCATGCAAAGAGATATAATTATAATTTGTTATGCCTGTGAATTAAAGCTGAATAATTATCATTATTTCCTCCCAATTTTGATCATCAAAGCATGATGTCATATCACTAATGTATATTTCACTGTAACATTTTAAGTACTGTGCACTTAAAAGAAAAACCAAAAAGGATGTGCACTATAATAGTATTTACAAGGAAACATCTTAATATGAAATGTGTTAAAATAAAGACTTTAATAAAAAAAATTGTTTTTTGGGGGGGAAAAAATCTGCCATATAACTAGCTGAAGGTTAAGATTTTCAGGTTTACAATAAGCTTAATGTAACAAAGACTTGAAATTAAAATCCCTCAGAATCTAGAATTTACAGTGTAAAGGAGAGGTTGAGAGTTAATTAGTCTGAATATTATTGGTAGATCAGCACAGTAAGCAATATTCTAAGATTCAGCTTTTATTGCACACACATTTCCTCTTTACTAGAAAAAAAGGTGAAGTGCATTTATCAGGGCAAGTGTGTGACATGTGCTGTAGGTTAAATACAGTAAATAACATGCCTGTTTTACTGTACACAGGAAAAAGTTAAACTTTCAACCTTTTCAGACAGAGTGAAAAAAAAACCTGGGCTACAATTTGATAACACATTTTTAGGTATCTTACATCAAAATTAACACAGGGCACAAATGTTTTATGTGAGGCAAAAATAACCCTAAATGAGGGCATATATTTGAGATTAAACAGTATTTGAGAGAATCTGTGACACTCACCTGGAGCTAGTGCTACCTTGTCTTTGTTTGCGAGAATGATTTTTCCATCAAATCCTATACAGGGTAGTAAGCCCTGTTCAAACAGTATGATATTCTCTTTCTCAAGGCCAAAGTAGTTGTGCTGCTTGAAGTAGTCATCAGTGGCTTGTTTTGTGTGTTCACTGGTCATAATGTACCTGAAGTATCAAAACATGTGTCTTTACAAATCAATACATAATTATCTATGAGTAGAATTTGAGGTCACATTTGTGCAAATACCCAGTAAGCAAAATTTCCAGACATAATCACCTGATCAGGAAATGGTTCAGTATTTGCCATAAGTAAAATAATATTGACATATTAAAATTTTAATTCAAGTTCAAACTCAATGAAAGATTCCCACAGAGATGGTGTGCCCGGTCCATCTTGTCTTATTTTTCTTGTATTTTCATGAGTCAGACCTTTGAAAAACAAGGAGAATAAGATCAGGTGGTCTGGAAGGGTAGGCATTTTCTTCTTCATAGATGACACTCTCATGTTAATCCAGGTCAGTCTAAGTAAGCAAAGTTATGTTCTCAAATGAGAACAATTTCCTATAGATTAGGATGCTTGAAAACTTACAATAAAATGCTTTAATTAAATCATTAATGACATTTTCCTTCAGAATGCTGTACTATAAAGCTATCTAAAAAGTGCAGATTTTGAAAATTGACTTACCATGGAATGGTACAGTGTTTGCCAGTCTGCTGTTTTGCCAGCCTCTCCAACTTGAGCAGCCTTTCTGCCTGAAGTTGATACAGGGTCTTCTTTGAGGGTAGACCTACATTGTACATGCCCTTTGGGTAGGGCACCCCTAGTCGTGTTCCCTGACCCCCCGCCAGCAGGAGGACAGCCACCCTGTTGTTACCCACTTCTTCTAGGCCTGGAATATAATAAATTAGATGATAATTTAGACTAAATAGACTGGATGAATTGTTTGTTTGTTAGGTTTACAGCCCCGTGAACAACCATTATTATTTGAGGTGGGGTCCCCTTTTACTAACTGTTGACTACCCTACTGAACAACATACTGGAGGTCCAATCACATGCCATCAAGATCAAAGTATTTTATCCAAGGACACTAACATAACAGCAGAGACCAGTCTGTTTTAGCTTCCCAAGATTTACAAACTGCCACTGGTGTAAGCAGTGTTAAACCATGTACCTGGAATCTTAATCTAAGGTTACCTAGATCAAGATTCTAACCAACTGAGCTATCATAGCCCCTTTTACTTTGAATGGTAGCATCAATTAACAGTAGTACTGATGACAGATAAAAAGGTACCATAGTTTAAATCATAATTTTATTTCATTTTTAAATATTAGTTTTATTTTTAATTTCACTTTCAAATTAACAAAAATTCTATTGATGTAAAATGTATCCTAATGTGTCATTCAAACAGACAAACCCAATCAGCAAATGATATGGGATCGGTAATTTATTCATAAAATGACAGACCATTAATTGCAGCTGTATTGGTGGTTTAAAATGCAGACATAATTGAGCTGTCTATCCTGTTCAATTGTTATATGTTGGTTAAGTCTCCAGGCTAGGGTTGAATTGAAATAAAAGCAATATGCTGCATGCTACAATCTGTTGTTCATATTTACAATGATATAAATCAATTTGAATTTGGACACAGGACATATAAACTATAGATATCTTTTTTCTGTTATATAGTTTATGATATATTTGTAAGGTTCATGTAAACATAGACATTTTCTCTATCATTTTATTCAGAAGCATGTAAAGACATTTTTTTCCAGTCAGATAATCTCAAGGAACAGTAAATGATTGAGTAATTTGGTGTACTAATCAATCTCAAAATTATTATGCAATCTGAGTTATCAATTTGAAAAAAGAAATAATACACATCCAACTTTCAGTACATTTACTGCATAATGACTGATAAGACACACAAATCCTACTTCTAATAAAACTTAGACTTGTTCCTCCACAAGTCTATAGTAAATAAGTTACAGGGCCATACTAACAATAAATCAACAAACACTGAAACCTCAGTCATTCTACTAATATACAACAGCAATAAAAAATTTAACATCTCTTTGAAGAACTTTGAATTTCATGAAGTTTGTTCATAGCAAAGCTGTGACTGGTAGGCCTCAGTAAGCAATTCTGTACAAATCAGTGGCTTTTTTTTTATCAATTTCTGCACTGCTTTCCCTTTCCCCCTCCCCCTCCCCTACCTCAAAATAAGTAGGGAAATTCAAGTTAAAGAATTACAGGTATTGACATGTATCATTTCAACCAAGAGGCTATCTACTCTCTATTAAGTTTTAGTTTCATATTTTTTGGGGGGTTTTGGGGGTGGGGTGGGGGGAGGTGTTAGGCCAGGAGATGGATTTTATCCTAGTAGCTGTGAAATGATTAACAGATAAATATTGACATGAATTATAGAGTGAGTGGAATTTATACATGAGATCAATTGCCATCCAAAAGATAAATTTTTGGAAGACTACAAAATTAAAGCCCCACAAAAATATATCATTTTACAGTAAGTATCAAACCACATTAATTCTAGTTTATAAACTAAACAATTAACTGATGGACTGCAGTGATGTCTTTGAAGAATGAACACAACTGACCAACTTGAATATTTCATGGAAAGCCTAACATGAAAGGTCATACCAGTCTAACTATGCTTGTAAGAAGGACTTCTGATAATGTAAGCCTCACAAACAACATCAAACATGTCTTTCCTTTTTTGTCAAAACCTAACAATTCAGATTGTGATAGATGAAAGTGGTAGAGATACTTGTCACTTTGGCGAGCTGATGAGATAAAACTTGGGTGGAAGTGTTGAAGAGAGGAACTTACATTTACCAGGTAGTTTGTTTGGGTGCAGTAATGTATGACTCCCAGCGATACAGGAATTCAAGTGATAATTACTTCACAGGATTGTTAAAGTCAGTTTCACTATTACCCTGTCCATTAGTTATCATCTGTACGTAAGACATACAGAGAACTTAAAATTTATCTCGCTAAATGTAACAGGGCCAGAATGATACATTTTCTTTCTGATATAATGCCCATCATGATACACATCCTTCAAAACGATTATAAGATAATGTTCCACATAAGCTACATAAGGGGCTACTATCCAAAGATAAATAGATTAAAGTGAATTAATCTTTGTCCAATTGTAAAGCATATATAGAATCTAATTAAGATTAAAGCCAATGTTTTGCAGTGAAGAGTTAACCTCAGTACCATATACACCTAAACTTTTTAACTAAGGTTGTAAAGTCTGATGTTCCACCCACTGAGTCATCCCCCTCAACCTCATTTTGGAAAGAAAATTCATTACAAACATAACCCATTGAAGTTTCCAAAAGTCAAGACTACTAGTATCCTGTACTATCAACTCAACAAAAATAAACTATGATTATTATTTATATTTACAGTACATGATTGTCTCCATGTACAATGAATTGCCAGTGAATACGGTCTGTAGAGCTGATAGAGTTTGGTGTTGAATATTTTATAACCTCTACAGGCATACCGGTATACTGGTATCACTCTACCATCCAATTCAGGGTCTACTTGTGTTTATGTGTTGCTATACATATCCTTTTGAACTGTAGAACTTCTAAATGATCCCACTCATTTTTGATTATTCACCTTGAGCCAGGTAAAATTACTGTTTCCCATGAAACAGATAGATAGAGATTCAATTCACAAATATTACTAAAAACAATGTACTGACAATCAATGATATTTTTCAGATAGATCTAGTGAAAATTAAATTAAAGTAGTAACATATAGTTGATTTAAGTCATGAAATTGTGAATTTCTATAGTGATAATGTATTAATTCTGTAAAAAACCAAGGCGATGTGACCCAACATACAAAGTCAGCGACTCAATTTGATAACCTTAAAGACTGGGTTATTGTATGAAATTGGATTGACTTTCAGTTTTACTATACAGCAAATGACAATAAGGAAGAGCAAGAACAAACTCAAATCAGAAATAGCAAGACTAAAACCAATCAGGAATACCATGACTAACCTCCAATCAGGAATACCAAGACTAACCTTCAATCAGGAATACCAAGACTAACCTTCAATCAGAAATAGCAAGACTAACCTCCAATCAGAAATAGCAAGACTAACCTCCAATCAGGAATACCAAGACTAACCTCCAATCAGGAATAGCAAGACTAACCTCCAATCAGGAATACCAATACTAACCTCCAATCAGGAATACCAAGACTAACCTCCAATCAGGAATACCAAGACTAACCTCCAATCAGGAATACAAAGACTAACCTCCAATCAGGAATACCAAGACTAACCTCCAATCAGGAATACCAAGACTAACCTCCAATCAGGAATACCAAGACTAACCTCCAATCAGGAATACCAAGACTAACCTCCAATCAGGAATACCAATACTAACCTCCAATCAGGAATACCAATACTAACCTCCAATCAGGAATACCAAGACTAACCTCCAATCAGGAATACAAAGACTAACCTCCAATCAGGAATACCAAGACTAACCTCCAATCAGGAATACCAAGACTAACCTCCAATCAGAAATAGAAAGACTAACATCCAATCAGAAATAGCAAGACTAACCTCCAATCAGAAATAGCAAGACTAAAACCAATCAGGAATACCAAGACTAACCTCCAATCAGAAATAGAAAGACTAAAACCAATAAGGAATACCAAGACTAACCTCCAGTTAAAATTACAAGACTAACCTCCAATCAGGAATAGCAAGACTAACCTCCAATCAGAAATACCAAGACTAACCTCCAATCAGAAATAGCAAGACTAACTTCCCATCAGGAATAGCAAGACTAACCTCCAATCAGAAATAGCAAGACTAACCTCCAATCAGGAATAGAAAGACTAAAACCAATAAGGAATACCAAGACTAACCTCCAATCAGGAATACCAAGACTAACCTCCAATCAGGAATACCAAGACTAACCTCCAATCAGAAATAGAAAGACTAACATCCAATCAGAAATAGCAAGACTAACCTCCAATCAGAAATAGAAAGACTAACCTCCAATCAGAAATAGAAAGACTAACATCCAATCAGGAATACCAAGACTAACCTCCAATCAGGAATACCAATACTAACCTCCAATCAGGAATACCAAGACTAACCTTCAATCAGGAATACCAAGACTAACCTCCAATCAGGAATACCAAGACTAACCTTCAATCAGGAATACCAAGACTAACCTCCAATCAGGAATACCAAGACTAACCTCCAATCAGGAATAGCAAGACTAACCTCCAATCAGGAATAGCAAGACTAACCTCCAATCAGGAATACCAAGACTAACCTCCAATCAGGAATACCAAGACTAACCTCCAATCAGGAATACCAAGACTAACCTCCAATCAGAAATAGCAAGACTAACCTCCAATCACAAATAGAAAGACTAACATCCAATCAGAAATAGCAAGACTAACCTCCAATCAGAAATAGAAAGACTAACCTCCAATCAGAAATAGAAAGACTAACCTCCAATCAGGAATAGCAAAACTAACCTCCAATCAGAAATAGCAAGACTAATCTCCAGTTAAAATTACAAGACTAACCTCCAATCAGGAATAGCAAGACTAACCTCCAATCAGGAATACCAAGACTAACCTCCAATCAGAAATACCAAGACTAACCTCCAGTTAAAATATAAGACTAACCTCCAATCAGGAATAGCAAGACTAACCTCCAATCAGGAATACCAAGACTAACCTCCAATCAGAAATAGAAAGACTAACATCCAATCAGGAATACCAAGACTAACCTCCAATCAGGAATAGAAAGACTAACCTCCAATCAGAAATAGAAAGACTAACCTCCAATCAGGAATACCAAGACTAACCTCCAATCAGGA